GTATTCCTATGAAATCACTGCCTCTGCCCTTGGACCTGGTCCACATGAGATTCTCTGTAAACTCTTTAAGAGTGAAGCCTCTGTTTCCCGCAGTCCCGTGGGGCTCCTGGAGCTAAGCCCCACTGGCCTTCAAAACCAGATGTCCTGGGGTCTCCTCCCAGAGCCAGAACCCTGGGCTGGGGGGCCTGACGTGGGGCTCAGAACTCTCACTCCTGTGGGAGGGCCTCTGCGGCTTAATCATTCAGCTTGTGGGTCACCCACCTGGGGTGTATGGGGCCTGACTATATCGGGAGCACATCTCTCCGACCTCCTGCCATGGCTCCCTCTGCTTCCAGTTGCAGATTTTTCTCGGCAGGCCCGGGGCAGGTTCCAGGCAGGCTCCAGGCAGGCTCCAGGCAGGCCCCAGGCAGGTTCCAGGCAGGCTCCAGGCAGGCCCCGGGCAGGTTCCAGGCTTTCTCACTGACAGCTGTCCAGCAGTCGGCTGTGGCTCTGTTGTGTCCGTGGGAGGAGGCGAGCTCGTGTCCCTACTACTCACTCATCTTGACCGGAAATCTGAGCAGCCCACGTTAAACAGAAAATAAATTTATGTTTACCCAGCTGAAAGGAAAAGTGAGAAAGAAAAGATTACTTCATGCTTCCTTTAAAAGGAGCACTGACCACGTCTCCCCTTTTTTTATCATTTGTTTTCTTCCTAACACTCACTGATTCAACAATCACCCAGGTGCCAGCGTGCGTGCAGCACAGTGTGCGTCAAACACAACAAGCACCATTGGAGTCGGACGCCTGGCTGTGCAGGTTTCCGGTTCTGACAGTAGCTACAAGGGATATATATTGAAAAAAAAAATTTTTTCAGAGAGAATAATTTTTAATTTTATTTAGTAATTCACTTTCTGACACTGTTTTTAATTTCTGAAAATTAAACAGGAAAATAAATACAACATTTCTGTATAAATTGACAGCCTATTAAAATTTTTAAATCATGTTAATTTTTTGCTTCCTGTACATGTCTCATTTATTGAAACCAAACGGCAATACTGCACAGACATTTCACTGACAAGACACAATAAAAACTATTCAAAGTGGGACAACAAATCATCTTTGAGAATTACTCTTATCATGTTTTCTAATAATGTCCATGAGATTAGCTCCTGTGACCAGATCACTCTGAGTCCGTCTGTCTCTCTGCTGTTCCTTCCTCTTCTGCTCGTGAAGGTAAGGCGAATTCAGCAGCTGCGGGGGGAGCAGGGAGCCCGTGGGCCCCACGCGCTTCGCAACATCCCAGAAGAGCCTTTTCGAGCTGTTGTTGATGAAAGTAATGGCTGTTCCGCTCTGACCTAATCTCCCCACTCTTCCAATCTGAAATGAAACGCAAAGGACATTTTCAAAACGACCAAGATTACAAAATCTTAACGTCTCTCAAAAGAAAATGACGACGGGTATGTAAAGAGGCTTCGCTAAGATTAACATTCCCTCAGGAGCACTTTCTGTGCTGTGCATCTCAGCATGTCTGTGCGACCAACGTCGTGGGCGGCCGCGGGGATATGTTTAGGGAAACAGCCCAAAAAGCACATAAGAAAATGACCACATACAATAGAAGTAGTGTCGTTTGTGAAGCTTGTGTTTCAGTCCTGTGTGTGTGTGTGTGTGTGTGAGTGTAGGGGGGTAATGACGCAAAGGTGCTTCTTAGTCTACACTCGGATTATTTAAATAAATAGATGGCTCCTGCCAATATACAGAACATCTTTAACGTTGTAAAAGAAGAAACCGCTAACAAAGTGGAGGGCGGCCTGCAGGGAGCCATACTGGGCAGAAGGAAATGCTGTTTTTCCGTATCAGCTTTTACTGCCACCTGATTTATTTAGCCATGTTACTGAGTTGTTCCAATAAAACTAAAAATAAATATAAAAAACAGCTGCAGCTCACAGACTGGGAGAAAAGATTTGCAAATCATGTATCTGACAAGGGTCACCTAGAATCCATAAAGACCTTTCACAACTCAAAACGACAACCCAGTTTAAAAACGGGTAAAGGATTTAAGCAGACATTTCTCCAAAGACACACAAATGGCCCACGAGCACACGAGATGAGGCCCCACGTCACTGCTCACCGGGGAGATGAAGACCAGAAGCACCCCATACCCCCTAGCTCGGCCAGACTGAGAACGACGGATAACGTAACTGCTGAAGAGGATGTGGAGAAGCCGGAACCTCACAGTCTGCAGGTGGGGATGTAAACTGAGAAGCCAAATCTGAAAACAGTCTGGTGGTTCCTCAAAATGTTCAACATGGAGCCACTGTGTGAGCTGGCAGCTCCGCTCCTAGGC